GACTGGGGGGGGGGGGAGGTAGAATTTACCATCTGGTTACTTTCATTGCAATTTTGAATTAGTGAGGGTAATTCTTTTAGAATTTGAACTTTCATAATTTAGCTCTAATTTTCTGTTGATTTATTTGGATTATTGTTTTTTTTTTTTTTCCAACTCGAAACTTGATAAATATTCTGGAATGAAAGGGCTTGTTAGGAGAAATTCGGTTTGAATTCAGAAAGGGTAAAATAAGGCAACACTTTTGAATGTTTTCTCTGTTCCGTACAGAAAACATAGCTGCATGAAAATTGTAATTTCACAATTTTTTTAACTTACTTTCAGCAGTACGACTATGACTGAGATTTCACAATGTTGAATCTCTCTCTCTCTCTCTCTCTCTCTAACACAGGATTGCGTTTCTTTTTCATTTGAATTGCAAAAAAATTGTGAGGAAACAAGTTTAGTAAATCATTCAGCCAACACTTCGTTTCTTTCGTTCATTTGTGTGCTTGTGCACTAAGATTGATTTTTTCATCATATTGCATTAGTATGATCCGACGTGATGAACTTTTACAAGTTTAAGGTATGAGAGATTGATAGGCATAGATTTTCAGAGTTTTTGATCGCCTTTACATTGCAATATGTTAATAATTTAGGATCTTGTCCTGATTTTCACTTATCAGCTTGGAAGACGTATTGAGTCTATAGTTTTGCCATTAGAGCTACTACAACAGCTCAGATCCTCAGATTTTCCTGGTCAGCGAGAATATGAAACATGGCAGAGGAGAATCTTGAAAATACTTGAAGCTGGACTCCTTTTGCATCCGCACATGCCTCTTGCAAAGACAGAAATGGCCTCTCAACAGCTTCGGAAGATCTTACGTGGAGCCTCAGATATACCAATAGAAATGGGGAAGCATAGTGAATCAATGCAACTTCTCCGCAATGCTGTAATGTCACTTGCTTGCAGATCATTTGATGGTTCTGTGTCGGATATATGCCACTGGGCGGATGGAATACCACTGAATCTTCACCTTTACTACATACTTCTAGAATCCTGCTTTGATGTAAATGACGAAACATCTGTTATTGAAGAAGTCGATGAGATATTAGAACTTATAAAGAAGACTTGGGTAATCCTTGGGATAAACCAGATATTACATAATCTTTGTTTCTTTTGGGTC